GTCGGATCTATAGACTTACACATTAGCATCCTAGAATGTTAGACCTGGAAGAGAATTTAGTGACTGCCTGGTCCAGTGCCCTCATTTTACAGATGAAGTATCTGAAGGCCTGAAGGGTAGATCTGCTGTAGGTCATGGAGGTAGGTAGAGGCAGAACTGGGACTATTAACTCCTGCCTCTCAATCCTGTCTTCTGCCTTCATGTGACTCAGGAGGACAAGGATCTTCTTTGGTGGGCTCCATCCCTAGTGGCTCTAGTTGTTCTATGGAAATAAATGGTCCTGGCTGGCCCAGGGTACGATTATTCCTGTTAAACAGTGGGTAAGCCATAGGAGAGAGGTGTTTGGTTTTGGCACATAGTTTATTATTTTAGAGAGAGATACAGAACCTCCTAATTAATTTTAAAAACTTTCTTTCTTAGACTGCAGGCAACAGCAATTGATAGCAAGGGAAATGGCCCATGAGATTCCAGGGAAGCCAAGGGAAAGGTAGAGATTAAAAAATTTGCCCTTTAGCAAAAGGATAATCCAACAGAGAATTGGCTCTGATTATTCTTTCTCTGCAGGGCTCATTACAGGGAATAACATTTAGAGCGGGGACGGCAAATCCAAAATACTGTGCTGTTACCTCCTGCTCCTGCTCTCGTGGCAGATATAGCTAAAAGACACATCACTCTTTTCCTCTGAGTCTGGATGTGGTCTCAGAATCCTTCTTAACAATATGCTCCAGTTAGCCATTACCAATTGAGATATAATCTGCTTGTTCTCCCTGCCCTGAGAAATAATTGTAGAGAAGACTCTACAGATGGATTGGTAATTGAGATATAACCTGTTTCCCCTCTCTGCCCTGGTGAACAATGGTGAATAATATAGAGAAGACCCTTCAGATGGCTTGAGAAATCTGGTTGGCAAGAGTTAGCCCAGGTCTCAAGCAGCCTCACCACTAAAGGTATCACTGACCTGGTTTGACCAAGACTGTTCTTTATGTTCTTTACACAGGTTGTTCTAGAGGTGGCAACAGCAACACCATGGAGCATCCCTTCATCCACATAGCTCTCCTTCAAATTCCGGCTTTGAAGAAGACATTCAGCAAAAAAACAAACAAACAAAAAAAAAAAAACAAAACTTGCTAGGTTTCTCACACTCATTCTTACCAGAAGGGCCTTTAGCAAGATCCTTCCCCAAACCAGATGTCCTTGGGTGACCACTGTGATGCTCCTGCCTGGGGATGGAAGAAAAAGCACAGAAGAGCTGCCAGCCTGCTGGTTGTATGTCCTCTTCCTGGCATGCTTTCTTCAGCCCAGGCCTGATCCTGGAACGCTGGAGTGGTAGTACAGGAACAAAGTGATTCAGAAACCCGTTCTCTAGAGGTCTCACCCCCATTACCACACGTTCAGATGTTTCTAAGTTTTTCCATTTTTATCACGTTTCTAGCTCCTCTTCTTTCATAAGAAAGAGATGGCCACTTGTCCATATCCATCCAAAGAAATTTCCCCATGTCCTCTACTGTAGCATTAGGCTTTTCGTGAAGGGAAACTGTCCATCTACCCTCTTAGGGTGCTATCTCATAAGCTTAAAAACAGTCCTCTTCGAGACACTGGTGGGAAATGAATCCTGGGCTAACAGAGCAGCAGCTGCCAGGCTCAGGATTGAAAGGTGAATGGAAACAGAAGCACCAACTTTGACTTAAATAGTGAACAAAGAATATTTTCTTCTCCTGACCTACTTTCTTTAAGACTCCAGTATGACCTATTTAGAGCAGCAGAGGGCGCTGCAAGGTCAAAAACAAAGTCACCCACCTCCATAGAAACTGGGAGAAAAGTTCCCTTTTTTGAGTGATAGGAGTGATCAGAAGTCAAGCTGTGGAACTAGGGTTGGCCTTGTTTACCAAAAACTTGGTCTCCCTCTGGTCTAGGGCCTCTCTTGAAGACAAAGGGAGTTATCTAGAGCTAATGAAAGGTAGTTCTGCTTCACTGATCGGTAGGTGGTGCCTACTAGGCATTTATTGCCTTGGGAAGCTGCTCATGATGTAGATATCAATGGATTTAAGGGAAGTAGGGTGGAGAAATTCAAGGACAATGAGTCTGTAATCAGTCAGTAATTCTCGAGGGTTTCTCTTATCCCTAAACTTTGGGGTCACTGGGTCATACATTGTAATCTCTCATGAACAAACCTGTTGTAACTTTTGGAAAATATGAGGATATTGAGTTAGAAGACTCATTTTTCATGCTCCTAATACTCTTATGGGTCTGGGAAGGGCACAGCTGGCTCAGATCTTGAGGGAGCACAGAACTCTACAACATGCTTTCAGAACTTACAACAAATTAAAGATGTGAGTCACTTTTTTACCCTTGATTGGCACGACATGTCTTTTGCCAGATTTCACAACTTTATTTTTTAGACTAACTTAGCATCTTTTCTATGAACAGCTTTGATGAAACAAAGTTCTCAGGAACTAAATTCATCAGTCTATTTAATAAGAACTACAGCAGCAACAGCAATACCTAACATTTATAGATCAGTTGCTGAGTGTATTTCATTTAATTTTCCAACAGTCCTGTGAGAAAGTTATTATTATAATCTCTATTTTACAGATGGGGAAATTGAGGCTTAGAGAGATTAAGTAATTATTTAAGGTCACAAAACCAAAAAAAACCAAACCTGTTGCCGTCGAGTCAATTCTAACTCATAGCTACACTATAGGATGGAGTAGAACTGCCCCATAGAGTTTCCAAGGAGCAGCTGGTGGATTTGAACTGCTAACCTTTTGGTTAGCAGCCAAGTTCTTAACCACTGTGCCACCAGGGCTCCCTTTAAGGTCACACAGCAGGTAAATGCCAGACCTGGACACTCTTAGCCATGACACTGTGCAGTTATTTTGAGCAATGCCTTTCCTGAAGGACATCTTTCAAGGGATATTGGAAGGACACTCGGTGGGAGAGTCATAATCATGCCACCTCAAGGAGGACTCAGTGTCTGAACCTTCTGTGGAAAGCATCAACGGAGAGGGTGTGTCCCTCTGTGGGAGGGTCCATGTAGCCCACTTCTCTGTTCTTGGGTATGGTTGATGTAACTGAGGTTAGACAATAAGAAGAGGAGTAACAATTTATCTTGAAAGCTTTTGCCTTCTAGATCAGGAAGGGAACACTCAGCTCTCCTGTAAATATCAAACCTGGGCAACACCTTTATAGCTGAGGGAGACACCAGGAGACTGTTGTTGGGGAACTGAGCAGAGTCTGAGGAAGAAGAACTGGTAGCTTTGAATGGACTTCCTCCAACAGTGGGCTGGGCTCCTGCGGAGAGGATCCCTACAGGCAGGGGGCAGTGCAGGCCTCCACAGCGACTGTGCTGGTCTGGCAGTCCTGGACCCTCCCCCCGCCCCCACACACCCAGAGACTCTGGCGATGCTCACGGTTTGACTTTGGACTGCCTGGGGTTTACTTTTGGTATTCTCCGTGCTTAGGGTTTCCAGATAAAATATAGGTCATCCAGTGAAATGTGAATTTCAGATAAACAATAAATTTTTTTTAGCATAAATATATCCCAAATATTACTAAAAAATATTTGTTTTTTATTCAAAACGCAAATGTAACTGGACATGCTATATTTTTATTTGCTAAATCTGGCAACCTTCTCTGTGCCAGTGGTTAACTGTTAAGTAGGGAAAGTTGCATTCCTTTATTCCACATACATTTACTGATTGTCTATATTACGTGGCAGTCACAATTCTGGGGGCTGGGGATAGATCAGTGAAAAGATAAACAAGGTGCCTGCCCTCATGGAACTTACATTATAGTGTGTGTGTGTGTGTGTGTGTGTGTGTGTGTGTGTGTGTGTGTGTGTGTGTGTGCGCAGGGGGACTTACATGCAGATGATATGGGAGAGACAAATAATAAATATGTATAAATCTCATGATTTCAGATACGAAGGGAAATAAGGGCAGAGATGTAACAAAGGCTAACTGTGACCTGGGTGGGTGTCCAGTTTACGTGGAGGGCCAGGGAAAACCTCTTTGACCTGATATTTGTGAAAAGCTGAGGCCCAGAGTTTCAGGCAGATGGACAGATGGAAGCACAGAAGGAGGCCACAGCGGCTGAAGGTGAGGGAAAGAAGGAGGGGTTGTTAGGAGAGGCTGGAGAGGAGGCAGGTCCTGGGAAAGAGTTCCAATTGAGTCATCCGATTTACTTTTTATAAAGACCTGGAGAAAAAATTGTAGGGGGACAAGGATGAAGGAAGGGGATCAGTTGGGGGTTATTGCAGTGGTCCTGGCAAGAGATGATGGTGAGGTGGTGGTGGTGAGGATGGAGAAAAGTAGATGGACTAGAGACAAATCTTCCTGGTAGAACTGGCAGGACTTGCGATGAATTGGGTATAGGGGAAAAGGGGAACAAAAGAACTTCTACAAATCCTAGAAGTACTCTTGGATTTTGAGGAGTCAGTCAGTCTTCGATATTTTAGGACAGTGCTTCCCAACTTTTGTTGTGTCATGGATTACATGAAAAATAATATTTGTATGGCACTTGGCTGGGAGGGGCTGAACCCAGGGGCTCCAGCCACCTCGGGTCCCACACGACCACCTTGAGCACTCTCTCAGCGATCTTGTAACCCATTCATGGCAGCTCACCCTTTGGAGAGCTCTGCTTTTAGGGAGAGAATTTTCCAGATAGAGTCAAGCATGTGCTACACAGGGCATAATGTGCAGATGAAAGTCATGCTGTCTGAGGTGCAGTAAGCCCTCTCAGGATCAGGGGACCCCCTCCCCACTGTTCAAACACCTGAAATCAGATTCATGGAATTCAGAGCTAGGACGGATTTTGGAAACCATCTTGTCCAACTCCCCTTCCTTTCCTCTTTGCACAGAGGAGTAAGGGACTTGTCCAAGGTCCTCATTCATTTATTCCATTTATTAAACCAAAAAAACAAACAAACAAACAAACAAAAAAACCCCAAAACCAAACTCGTTTCTGTTAAGTCACTTCTGACTCATAGCGACTCTATAGGATGGAGTAGAACTATCACATAGGGCTTCCAAGGAGCAGCTAGTGGGTTCAAACTACTGACCTTTGGGTTAGCAGCCAAGCTCTTAACCACTGTGCCACCAAGTCTCCCTTCTGTTTATTGAGTAGCTGCAAAGTGCCTGCAGCTGTGGTAGGTGCTGTAGGACAGTGCTACTTCAAGTGTGATTCGTGGACTGACTGGTACAGGCCCACAGACAGTTTGTTATCGGTCTGAGGCAAGAGGGTACAGAAATGGAGAGTGAGCCACTTTTAAAGCAATTTGATAGTCAAGCATGTGATCCTTGGACTTATTGCTTCTTTTTCTCCCTCCCTCTTTCTCTCTTGTAACTCATTTTAATGGTATTTACAGAAGTATTAGTTCAAGATGGATGGAGGTTCAAAACAGCAAAAACAACACCTGTTTCTTTGGCTGGGGGCCTTTGCCTCTGAGAGCTCAGCTCACTCAGTCACATGACTGCCAGGATGCCTGTCTCTTCTCATTTCCCTCCTACCTCCTCCATGTCAGAAAGCCTAAGATGATCTCAGAGATTTCAGGAGCCCTGTTTTAGTCTATATTCTCTAATCTCTGCCCTGATACAGAAGGAAAATGATTCTGATTGCCGCCTTTAGCCTTTTATTTTCCTGTGAGTAAATTCATTCGTTTGTGTCCCTCCCTCTTGTTCTGTAGCCCATTTCCCTTTTTCTTACTTGGCTTCTTGCTATCTTTCTCTTTCCCACTTGGTTTTCAGTGATTCTGTGCCTTAGGCTTTCATTTCTGGTCCTTCCTCCTGCCCCTGCCCATTGAGTTCCCTTTGGGGTGAGTTTGTGCTGGGCCCAGTGTCTGGGGAGGGCAGCCACTCATTGTTTTCTCACCTCTTCTCCTTACAGATGAGGGCATGCTGTGTAACGAAGTAATTCAGAGTCCCACGGAACAGACAGTGGGGCTGGGCGGTGAGGCAATGCTGCTCTGCACTTACAAATTGGAGATCTCAAATCCAGATTTATTCTGGTACCGGATGAGGCCAGATCACTCCTTTCAGTTTGTCCTTTACAGGGATAACAGCAGATCCAAAGATGCAGATTTTACTCAAGGCCGGTTTTCTGTGAAGCACAGTCAGACCCAGAAAACCTTCCACTTGGTCATCTCCTTAGTGAGGGCTGAAGACAGTGCCACTTACTACTGTGCCTATGCTCCCACGGTGATGCAGGTGCCCAGGAAGTCCGCACACAAACCCCTGGGGCATAGGCCAGCACGGCGGAGCAACCTCTCAGGGGAAGTCATACCCTTGAACATGGCATCCTTCGTCTTAGTCATTTTGTGCCCCAGCCTGTCCTTTAAACCAACCAAACCAAACCAGTTGTCATCGAGTCAATTCCAACACACAGTGACTCCTTGTTTGCCAGACTAGAACTGTATTCCATAGGGTTTTCAGTGGCTGATTTTTCAAGTAGATCTCAAGGTCTTTCTTCTGAGGGAGGAGCCCTGGTGGCACAGTGGCTAAGAGCTCAGCTGTTAACCAAAAGGTCTGCAGTTCAAATCCACCAGCTGCTCCTTGGAAACCCCATGGGGCAGTTCTACTCTGTCCTATAGGGTTGCTGTGAGTCGGAATTGACTTGATGGCAATGAGTTTAGCAGCAGTTTTCTTCTGAGGAGCCTCTGGGTGGACTTGCACCTCCAACTTATCAGTTAGCAGCCGAGTGTGTTAACCATTTGCGCCACCTAGGGACTCCACCTGGCCTTTAGAGGTGCCCTAAATTTATTTAATTAAATTTATTAAGTAATAAATATTTAATATTATTTGTTAAATAATAAAAGGTCTTGTCATGCCCTGGGGAGCACCTTGGCTTCAGATGAACAACACATCTCCTCACTTTTTGCTCAGTGGTCCCTTGCTACCTGAGTGACTCGTGGTAGTGAAGGGAGGAGCCGTGTGTTTGAGGGATTCTCATCTTTGCACTGCCAGGGCCAAGTTGGGGCTCGACAAATGACCAGAATGAGCAGGAGAGGCCATTGGAAGTGTCTTTATTTTAGTCTCCATCATCATTTATCTATTATTATAAATTGGTCTGTTTTCATTTTAAGAATCAAATTGGACACCAAATTATTTACTTTAAAAATTTCCCCAGTTTACATTTTCTCTGCATCTTCTGATGTCTGTCCAGCTACCTTATTTCTCCTGGATGCTCTTTGACACCTCCATTCCACTTACCGTTTTTTACAGAACATTTTTTTTTCCACTGAAAAACACTGAGGTACTCCTAGAAAGTTGTCTGTGAATCCCAGAATCCTAGCTCCAAAGTCTCTTTTGGGGAGATAATTACCTCCAGTGGAAAACAACCATGTGATGTCAAAATAGATACACCCTCAGCCCCTGGGAATTGGTCCCCCTTCCTCTACCTCCATTGAACTCTCTGCCTTCAAACAACTATTAGAGTTATTGGCTTTAATTTTAGAAATGGAAGAGGCCTTGGAATCATTTTATAGGAAATAACACTGAAGCCCAGAGAAAGGAGGGAAGTTCCCAAGGTCAGATAGATGATTAATGGCAGAACTGGGGGAAGGGACATTCCAAAGGTGGCATGGTGGGTTAGTGAGAGATTTGGAGGGACAGGAGTTTCCCAAAGTCATATGGTTAGTTAGTAACAAATCTGAGGGTGGGGATGCTCCCAGGCGATATAGATGGCCATTGGCAGAGCCAGGGCTGTGGTGCTACACTTATTGGCCTCTCTCTTGCTGGTCACCCTAGGCTTTATCAGTAGGGAGTTTGGACACCAGTGTGTCTGGGCTTCAAAAACAGGCAGGCAAACAGCAGTTACTATGTGGAGGAATGGAAAGAACATTGGGTGAGGGATTCAAAGGCTGTGGGTAAGCCTCTTGGGCTTCCTGGGGCTTCTGTTTTGCCCTCTACCAAGTGTGTATAACAATCTCCTGAATGACCACCTTAAGGTTGTTGTGGGACTTTAATGAGATACTGCACAAGAAAGCTCCTAAGAACTGTAACCCACTGTGATAGTTCTTTTCTGGAGGTTCCTTTTCGTGAAAGAAATTCATAGTCCTGTGATGTGCTAAGGTGATTTCTTCTGATGATCAAAGTGGGCCAGAGAGTGTCTCAATTATATGTTTAGTATAGGACAGTCCTGAAGTTCAGTCCAGCTGATATTCAAATCGAGTCCTTATCCTTATTTTCAGAACGCAGTGTGCTCTTGTGGAAAGAACTTCGGGCTGGTGCTCTCAATACCCTGGTTCTGCTCCCAGCAATAACCCTGCCTCACTGAGTGATTCTGGACAAGGTACATACTTTTTTGTGTGCATATATATATTTTTTCTTTTCTTTTTTTAAAAAAATTGTGCTTTAGGTGAAAGTTTCAGAGCAAATTATTTTCTCATTAAATAATACACAAATTGTTTTGTGACATTGGTTGCCAAGCCTGCAATGTGTCAACATTCTCCCCTTCTCCACCCCAGGTTCCCTGTTTCCATTCGTCCACTTTTCCTGTCCCTTCTTGCCTTCTTGTGTTTGCTTTTGGGCTAGTGTGCCCATTAGTCTCGTATACATGATTAAACTACAAAGCGCGTTCCTCACCTGTGTTATTGTTTTCCCTGTAGTTGGCTGAAGGGTGAACCTTGGGAGTGACTTTGGTACTAAGTTAAAATGTTGTCTGGGGTCCATACTCTCGGGTTTCTCCAGTCTCTGTCAGACCATCAAGTCTGGTCTTTATTTTTTTGTAAATTTGAATTTTGTTTTGTGTTTTTCTCCCACTCTGTCCGGGACCCTCTATTGTGATTCCTGTCAGAGAAGTTGGTGGTGGTAGCTGGGCACCATCTAGTTGTTCTGGACTCAGTCTGGCAGAGGTTTGTGGTAGTTGTGGTCCATTAGTCCTTTGGATTAATCTTTCCCTTGTGTCTTTGGTTTTCTTCATTTTCCTTTGTTCCAGCCAGGATGAGGCCAGTAGATGTATCTTAGATGGCCTCTCGCAGGCTTTTAAGATCCCAGATGCTACTCACCACAGTCGGATGTAGAACATTTTCTTTATAGACTATGTTACGCCAGTTGAGCTAGATATCCCCCAAGACTATGATCCTCGGCCCTCAGCCCAGTAACTCAGTCCCTCAGGGAGTTTGAATGTGTCAGTGAAGCTTCTATAGGTTTGCCTTGGTCAAGTTGTGCTGACTTTCCCAGTATTGGGTACTGTCAAAGTTACCACTTATCTACTATCTAGTTAGTTTTTCACTCCCCACCCCTCCCATCCCTCGTAACCATAAAAGATTGTTTCTTTCTGTGTGTAAACATTTTCTTGAGTTTTTATAGTAGTGGTCTCATACAGTATTTGTCCTTTTGTGATTGATTTATTTCACTCAGCATAATGCCTTCCAGATTCATCCATGTTGGGAGATGTTTTGCAGATTGCTTTTTTTTTTTTTTTAGCTGAAAAATGAGGATAAGTGATCTTTTCTTTCCTAGACGCTTCAGAGAAACAGTCTAATGCTACACAAAGTAACATGTGAATGTTTTGGAAATAAGCATTCATTCTTTATACATACAAGGTGAAGTTGTGTGGAATAATTTATTTATTTTTCCTCTGATGAACCTGGCTTATCCTAGATTGTTCTAAACCCATTGACTCATAATGCTACTGCCTCCTTTCTTTTGTTTGGCTGTAAAGGCATGATGCGGGAGTTTGTGGTTGGCGATGGCAGGGACAGTTGTTAATGTTGGCTGCTCTTCCATTTGTAACATCATGAGCTTCTGCTTGACACCCTAGCTAGGTGTCATGGAAACCACAATTCTGGGTTGCTAGGGCTCTGCTACCCGAGTGAGTGCACCTGGAAAGAGCTGTGAGCCTGCTGAGGCAGGAGGAACCGAACTCACCACCACACCGAGGGCTCTGCTGCTGCTGTTGTTATTGCTTTAGCAGTAGCAGCATCAACAGCAGGAAGCCCAGAGCTGGGTCCCCAAGGCAGGAGCCTGCACGCTTGAAGCTCAGGAAGCTGCGGTGTGACCTATAAGCTCAGTTTGGCTTTCAAATGACTTAACGGTTCACAGCACCCACTTCCTCTCTGCAGTGGTCAGCAATGAATCAAGCCAAAGGCAAGTGCACACAATGCAGTTTAATAAATGCAGTAGAGACAGGGTCTAAAATGAACAGCAGAAAACTATCAACACCAAAGACCCAGGCAAAAAGTCAGTGTCCAGTGATCTCAAATTCCCTGGGCAGACTGGCAGGCAAAAGACAGTAGAGATATTGTTTTTACAGGGGAAGCCTAGGAGATTTCATTTCTATCCCTCCCTCCAAAAACACTTGCACATTTCATTGCTTAAATTAAAGGCAGACCCACGTCTTATTCATCTTTGCACCCTCAGCACAGTGTCTGCAACTTAGAGGGAGTCAATTCATGTTTGTTAAGTTAATTAATAGAAAGGAGTTCTTTCTTCTGTATTCTATTCTGATCTCTGCTAATAGCTTGGAGGGTATTTAGATGAGGTTTTAGAAACCCGTGGAATGCTCAGAGAGAATTAACCTAAAAACCCGTTGCTGTCAAGTCGATTCCGACTCATAGCAACTGCCCCATAGGGATTCCAAGGAGCGGGTGGCAGATTCTAAGTGCCGACCTTTTGGTTAGCAGCTGAGCTCTTTAACTACTGTGCCACCAGGGCTCCCAGAGAATACTAGGGAAGTCAAATGTTATTCTGTTTGCAAAGTACTAGGAAAACCAGAAAGGCTGAAAATTTGGTACTATTCCGCCCCCCATCACCAGTTCTAGTGTGGTGGGTGGGACATGCACAAGATGCGGGGATAAGAATGTCAGTTTGGGACAAATATGATGCTGAGTTGGGCAAAACATCTCATGTTTAGGTAAAAGGACATGTACTCTCTTCCTCCCAGGGCTTATTTTCCTCATGGAGAATGGATTGGGGAACCTGTTCGTTCCACTTTGTACTTCTGGAGTCAAAGAAAGTCAAAAGGAACAGAACACTGCTTTCAAAGTGTACCAGGTGTAGGAGTAAAAAATGAGTCTTATATCCCCTTATAAAACAGCATTGACACAGTTATGATCATAAATTCCCTCTACCCAGGACTTTTGTCCTGCCACCAGTCTGAAGGATGAGCTGGGTTTGTTGCTTTCAAAAGAAAACTGGTTTGAGTGGTAGCCATTTAAGGTAGGCTGTGACAGTCATCTTGACAGTCATCACTGAGAAGTCAGAAGCCTAGGAAATAGCATCTTTGTAGGTTTTTGGTTTATTTCAGGGGATGAAGCATCCTCATCCCAGTCAGCCTGCAAGCAAAAAAGGTTGTGAGAGCCACCTGTTACGGAATCATACACCCTCAGTGCCAGAAGGAATCATAGCAGTCATCTACTCTAGGAAGGCCAATACTTGCTGTGGCTATACCATTGCAGACATCACTAATCTATCATAGCACTTTTTCCCTCTACACATGGAAAGAGTGCAGCTAGTCAGTATCAGCCTGTCAGTGTTATCCCAATCCATGAAGCCTATTTGCTTTCCTTTAAACTGTTGCTGTTGAGTTGATTCCAAATCATAATGACTCTATAGGACAGAGTAGGACTGCCCCATACAGTTTCCAAGGAGTGCCTGGTGGATTCGAACTGCTGACCTTTTGGTTAGCAGCCGTAGCACTTAACCACTGCACCACCAGGGTTTCCTTGCTTTCTTTTAGTCATTCTTAATTCTCTTGTTTCACAGATGCAAAATCTGAGGCCCAGAGAGGTGAAGCAACCTGGCTAAGATAACAGTGAGTTAGCGACAAAATCAAAACTAAAACCCAGGTTTTCTGACTCCCAGGGCAGCACTTTTTTTTATATAACCACAGGCCTATGTCCTTGGGACTGTTAGTAAAATAACAGGTGGAGCTGGACATCCATTTGGGAATGATTAGGTATGTTTTCAGGCTAGGTCAGATCAGTCTAACACTCTACCTCTAGGGTTACACCTAAATGAGAACTGGGGCTGTAGAGTATTTGGTAATATTGTACTGGGGAATACTGGAGAAGGAGCAAGGGGGAGCTTCATAGGCAAACCAAGATCCTGGTTTGAATTTCATCTACAAGTTTACCTGAAAAGGGAATGCAAGTAAAACACAAATAATTAACATATCAGCCCTGACTTTTATGCATCCTGAGTGGACTGTTCACTATGGACAGGAGTGTACATCATCTCAATGACAGGTTGTGTGCAATCAGAGTCCTGTGATTAAAGATTGGGATCTGGCATTCTTTTTATCTGGGCAAAGATAGCTTTCACTCTCCCTGAATATTCTTTGGGTGAAGCTTTACTTATGGTCTTGCAAATAGCTCCTGGCCCATCAGACAGATAAATGAAATAGGAGATGAGGAAGACTAATTCTCCTTCTTAGTTCCAACATTCTCCCTGGGGTGGAGGTGGGGGGTATTGGCTGGCATCTTAGAAAAATAGTACATTATACTACATAATGGATTTCAAGTCCAGCTTGAAATAAGAGGATAACAGGAGATGGGATATTGTTATGCTGAGTACCTGAGATAGCCCACATTATTAATTCTAAATATGTCTTTGTGTTTTTCCCTTCTCAATGTTTCTTGGTCTCTTACCATTCCTAAATCCCTTTCCCCCATGTGCTGCATAATTTTGGTGGACATGGGAATATGAAGGGGCTAATTCTTACCTTAAAAGAAAAATAACTTGGCAGTCAAGAGAAAATTGATGGCAACACTCTTGGCAAGCACCATTCTTAGTCCCAGCAGTGTGAGAGACATCATGTTCACCTTCCTGGTGTGAACTGTGGTTGAACAAGAGTGAAGATGGTGACTTAAGGGAGATACTAAATTCTTCCAGAAAGGGGACCTGTAACACTGACACCAGCTTGCCCCAAATCACCAGTACTCTTCCTGGTCTACAAATCCCAGCTTGGAGCCAGATACCCTCAGAGACCTAAGGCTGCTGTTCATACCTAGCCAACAAAACCTCCTTGGAAATCCATGCTTACAGTCAGACAAGTTCTCCTGGGAGAGTCAGAGGCTGAAGGAAATCAGTTCAGCTCAGGCACAGTTTTTGTTTTCTTTTGAAATCCGATGCTTTTTGACTCCATCTAACAATTACACAATTTGCCTTAACCCTCAATTCTAAAGTTGACCCTTTGATTTGAACTAACCTTTGGGTTCATGGCAGTTCTTTGAAGTTTCCTCTTTGTTTTCAGGTTCCCTTGGTCCTAGATTACATAGAAAAAGCAGCAGTGGTCAGAGGTACGTTGCCAACCAAGACGTTCAAAGGATTTCAGGATTTTAAAACTGGAGGAGACTTTAAGTAACTAAACTAAAGCCCAGAAGACGTGACTTGATTAAGGTAATACAGCTGTTCACATAGCCAACATATTCCCCATTCTGGACTTTTTTCATTGCACCTTGAGACTAACAACCTGGCATGGCATACCTTTAATATGTAAGAAGAACTAGGATTATTAACCACACAATAGACTGGATTGTCTTTTGGTTTGGAATTCAGCACTGGATTAGACTGAACATTTTTTTCCAAGAATAGAGTTTCTTTCAATCACAGAGACTCGTGGTGGGACAGCCATTTGTATGAAGGAGGCAGTGATTGGTGAAGAAGAGAGATGGGGATGAAATGACCACACATGGGCCTTGTCTCAGATTCCAGTTCAGGGATGCAGAGCATTACCTTTCCAGTTGATGATGGGCTATAGTTAGGCCTAAGTCTTGTTTCCAGCATGATACCATATTGAGACAGATGTCCAGAGTTTACATCTCCAACTTCCCTTTCCCCCCGACAACCCCCAGTTCCTTGAAACCAGATACCACCTACCTGAATGACTTATCTTTGGCTCCATGTCAGGGGAGTTCAAGATTTCATTGTTGTGTTGAACTGAACACGTCACTGAATCTGAGTCTTCATACTGACCAAGCTTGACAGCACTGTACTTCCCACTGGGAGAGACGACTATTGCAGGGTCATATTCTATTATACTCTTGGATGAGTTGAGGGTTATACTTATATCCTTGGGATAGAAATCCTTCACCAGACAAGCAACCTTCGTCCCATTTTTCATTACGAAAACAGATGGTTTGGTTGGAGGCTGACTTTCTGCAAATATAATCAACTTATTTCATGAGATGATTACCTACAACTTGGAAGTTAAACAGTGGTGGTTATCTCAACTCACCTTGGGCCAAACATGGTTGTGGCCTACAATTCAGATCTCCCTGTAGCCTGCTAGTGACCTGGGCTTATTAGCACCCCATGCAATGATGGCCAAGAGGAGTGGAAATGAAAGGCAGTCAGTTTGACTTCTGGTTTGGAGCTGCTAAAGGATATAGCTGGGAGCAGAGATGGAAAGCAATAACTACAAAGCAGTTTCTGGATCATTCGGGTTTTCAATGATTTATGTTTTATTAATCGATCCTCTGGACAATGGAGGCCAGGCTGAATATGTGTCTGCATTGGCAGATTTATATTAAATGCACGAGCCCTTGGAGGGAGATCAGGGCAGATGCTTATGCTTTGCATTATGTCAGTTAAAGAAACAAGGGCCTGAGAAGGGCTGCATACACAGCTGGTGAAAATGTACTGAAGATAGTAGTGTTGGGGTTACTTCAGGATGTCATCCCCGGTTTTAGGAACTGAAAGGGATCTGCTAAATTAAGTAGTATATCTCCCTGCCTTTAGGGGAATACTTATTCTTTTGTAAGAGACCAACCAATTTCTTCTGAGTCTTTAATCAGAGAATAAAACTATTGTTCTCAAGAAATCCTTACAGACATATAACTTTAATTCCTGTTGTAGTTTAAGCTCATTTCTTCTCGTTTTATTCTAAGTGGAGCTGTGGAATGGTTGGTCTCAACAATTGGGTCCCCTCCTGGCCTTCTCTCCTTTCATGCCTCACCTTGGACCTCTCAGCCACTCTTTAAATGCATCCTTTTCTTTCCTTAAAACCAAAAGTCTTGAAGCTTTGAGGGAGGTAATAATGCTTCTTTCCCACTATGCCTTATTGAAGCTTCTGAATCTTTCTCCCACCCCACAATAGTTGTGATCTTTCAGAAGGAGATCACCAGGCCTTTCTTCTGAGGCACTTCTGAGTGGATTTGAACTACCAGCCTTTTGGTTAATAGCCAAGTACTTAACAATTTGCGCCACCCAGGGACTTTGAGTCGCTGAATCTTGATAGATTTTGTGTCTGTGAATATTTTGATTCTTAGGGTACCTTGAAATAACTGCTAAAGAAAGAGCCCTATTAATACTGGAAATCAGGAAAGACAATCAGTCTGTGAATGGAGATCTGGATGTATTTCCAGTCATAAACTTAACTGCTGATTTTCAATATTAATTGCTTTCTTGAATATGGGCTGTTAGTATTTAAAACTTAGGTGCATTTGGCTTCTTGGTATCAAATTAAAAATATGTTGAATTCCAATGTGCTTTTATCTACAATAAAACGATTGACTGCTAACTGAGAGGTCAGTGGTTCAAAACCACCAGCGGCCCCTTGGGCGAAAGATGTGGCAGTCTGCTTCTGTAGAGATTTGCAGCCTTGGAAACCCTATGGGGTCGCTGTGAGTTGGAATGGATTCGATAGTATTGAGTTTGATTTTTTTTTTTTAATTTAAAATGGTCTGTAAGCAAGACTTAGATATTGTTAAACAAAAAGTCTTCATAATGAATGTGTAAAGAGAAAATAAATGATTTTTCTAATGCTCTGTTCTAAATCTGGATTTGGGCTTAGGCTGTGATGCTCATAGTAGTAGGGCCATAACCAAATGTACTGGTTAGATCTGGTTTAGAGGGAGTGATTCCTAGTCAGGACGTTCCTGCTGACGTACTTTATAAATGGACAATGGCTGATCAGGTCTTTCCTAGGAAATCAGCTGTTCAAAGCACCGTCATCACACCATCATAATTCTTTGTCTCTTTTCCCAGTCCGGAAGCTGAGCTAAAAGATTGGATTCTGTTCTACTCACTCAGGGCAGGAAACTCATTCCTAAGAATTTGGTGCCTTATATTTTTGGCTTTAGCTCTCAGCAAGGTGGAGGGGTTGGGGGTGTGTTGTAATTCAAAGGGCTTTCCTGGAATCTCCCTTCAACATTCATGAGAAAACTTTCATTGTTTTGTCTCCTTGCATATCTGAAGCCACTGATAACAGCCACTGATAACCTAAGCATTAACTGCTGGAAACCACAAGGGTTGCCCACCGCCCCTCCCTTCAGAACTGCTACATTTCTTGCTCACTATACTGAGATCGGTTTGAGATGTATTCCGGTTGATTTGCAAGGGAGTAATGAGTTAGTGAGAAAGGAAACCAGTCCATTAAAAACAAAACAAAACCAAAAAACCAAAAAACTCTATCTCCTTGGTTATTTCAGAGTATGATCCAATCCTAGTCTAATTTTGTTGCATAATTAAGGCTTGCCTGGGATTTTAAAATCTAAATTCATCAGGTAGCTGTCAATGATCACTTTGGGCTGGGGGGCCTGATTTATTGAATGATGTAATGTAGTTGACAAAACAGATGTCTGAAGAAGGTTGTGCACACTTACGATATTGACTTCTGAATCTGTAGTCAGCATTTCAGATTGATCATAAGGTACTGATTTGGTAAAACACTTTTCTTAGACCTCCTTTCTCAATTAATAATGTCTGTAAGTTCAAAACAATTGTTCGAAAATAAAAATATTCTATCTGATCCCTTCTTTGATATCATGGTAACCAAAGAAAAAGCTATCTGACTGAATTGAACCTTTTTTAAAAAATGGAACTCACTCAATATAGTTGCTGTATGTCATCACACCTATTTTATATTTGACTTAAAATAAACCAAAATTTGAAGCTGTATAAAAGTTAGTTTTGCACTATTGTAGTCCAGAATTTAAATTCAAGATTTAACTGTTTATCTTTTAAGAATTTCCAGTCTTTCTCATGGTCCACGTGTGTAATTATGTTTCAACACGCATTTCAAAGTGCTATTTGGGTAACTGTTATTTTATTTTCAGACTTTCTCTTTTTTGAAAAATCCAATGCTAAGGTTATGTGCTGGTGAGCAATGCAAAAAGACACAAACACCCTTCCTGAACAGTCTTTCTTAATTTATAAACTCAGAAATCATCTGTGTTTCAGCTTCTTATAGAGTGCTGCTGGTCCCCTAAGAACTGCAACATTTATAATAAATATCATTCAGAATTTCAAGGCTCTCTGTCAATATGGGATTTAATTTGAACCTGAAATATAAATTTGCTCACCCTGATTGCTCTGACCAGGCAGGCTAACCATCTCCAAAATCTTCTAAACTGCAGGACACTTGTTTTCAGGTTGCAATAAAACATGCATACTAGTCAGTGTAGCCAAAGGGATATGTAAGGAGTATGCAACCTCGTGGAGAATTTGAACCAAAGTGTCCCTGCCACTGTACCCCTGCACCAAATGTTCTTAGTGTAATTTTTCTAGATTACTTTGTGCTTTCTTGGCTGCTATGAAAATTTCAGAAATAAGTGGGAACTAGCAGTTCAAACACCTAGGGGCACCTTGAAAGACAGGTCTGGCAATCTGCTTCCAAAAAGTCACAGCCTTTAAAACCCTATGGAACAGTTCTACTCGGCACACATGGGGTTACCATGAATTGGAATCGACTCAATGGCAACTAACAAGCAACAGTAAATAGTTTTAATGTATGCTTTTAAAAAATAAAAATAGTTATGAAGCTACTTTAGCAAATCAGCCCAGTGTCTTCACTCTGACCCACTTCATTTCTGTACTATTTCTATTTCTACCTACTCAAGTAGTGTTAACTGGGTGGCAGCTCCAGTCCCATGACTCAAATTATACTGAGAAATATAAGGAAAAGATCAACTCACGGGGCTCCACGAAGAGTTTGGTGCCAGCTCCAAAAAACATCTGTCGGGTGTCCCAGGAGCACATTGTGACACTGCCTCACAGGCGATCAGCCTGGGGCAGCCCTGGGGCCTGGGCTAGAACATCTGCCCTGCCTCCCAGGCCTGTGTCTCAGCCTAGAGACCACTCAGCTCAGAGAACTACAAAGCTGCCCTTGATGAGACCACGGGGCCTAGTGCACAAAGTCTCAGTTCACTTTGAAGCTAATAATGGTTTAGCTGCTGGAGATGGATAGGGATGTGAGCATGAAATTGCCAGCCGAGAGGTGCAGCGACAAGGCTGAAATGGAGCCAGAGAAGAAGGTGACAGGTGGCCGAAAGCTGCCTTGAAGATGGAACATTGAGTTTATTGGGAGGACTCTCCAAGAACACAATAGCTTGGGGTAGAGATGAGGCATGGAATGTTGACAGTTCTTAAAATGAATGTTAGGCTGAGAAGAAGAAGGTTTAGAAACAGGTCCTGTTCTCATACTCTGGTTCCCTTCTCTTGGGTCACACATAATACTTTTTGATTAGAAACCTAATTTCCCCCATCACTCTGACTGAGTCTCACAATAATAACAAATCTACTTTCTACTTCACTGAATCCAGTGAAGGGCTTTCTAAGGACCTGAGGGTTGAACAAGAAATTGGTTGCCATGGGGGAGCCCATTGGTGCTGCATGTCATTGATACAGGTCAGAGAAGCCAGTGTTTGCTTTGGGTTGCTTATTTTTGTTTTGTAATTTGTCCTATATCTGGATCCAGCTACAAGCCTCAAGAGGATGTAGTAATCATGTGAAGTAGAATTTAAAAAACAAACGGATTACTCTATCCCATCACCAAAAATCAAGAGTCTAGGGCTAGAGGTAGGCAAAAGAGAATGACAGTGGTATAAGGCCTTTATTTGCTGTCAAAACTTTGGGAGCTTGATTTGAAATTCTCACTGCTCATGCCTGAGCTTCACAGCACTGCATTATACCATCACTGCAGGAAGAGAAACCAAAGAAGCAAATGGAGTCTCACTGGGGAGCTTAGGTCAGTGTCTTGGCAAGAGGCTAAACATCAGTTTCATCATTCTCCTTCTTCCCTAAGACTCCCAAAGGCACATCCTCACAGATTTGACTCTAACACTGCAGATAATTCTGAATTTCAAGTGGAAATGATTTAAAGGGAAAATGAAACACAATACTTTTTGCTCAGATGCAGTTTGCCAAACATCAATCAG